GAAGAATTTCCTGATTATGAGAGTTATAAAGCAAAGGAACAATTCAGTTTGTGGAGTTGGGGGTGCTTCATCGTGGGAGGTTTTTACCACAGGATTAGATAGGATGGTCTAATGATTCCTGCCCCAGGCAAGGGATTCGAATTGAAGATTTCCAAATCTCTCTAATCTAAGGGCTTTATAAATCTATCCAATCTCCACTGCCCAGGGAATCCAATAAATCTTGATTTTGCTCTGAGGCTAATGACAACAGGATCTCTACTTTTTAAAACTCTACAAAATTATTCTGCCCTGGCATCACTTGGGTAGCATCGGGGATAATATAAAAAGTGATTAGACCTAGGCCCTCACAAGCCAATAAACCTCTTAGGGCCACTATCCGATGATAAATCCAATGGAAATTAGCAAGGGGACCTATCGAACACAACATCCCCCTACTTCATCTAAGCTTCCACCTTCCATTTGATTGCACTGCATTTATTAACAGTAGAGAGCAGAAGAGATGTTATCACATCAGAAGACTTTATTCAAGTAAGAAGAAAATTTAAACATGTCCTTGGCCCATCTTTTCTAATTACCCAGCAGATACAGAAGTAAAGTCAACTATGTCTTGAATGAAGCTTAGCTTCTGTTGATTTCAAGGGACATCTGTGTCATTTTCTTAGGAGCAATACACAAATAATTGACTCTAACTTTTAGAGTGCTTTTTCAACTTTCCAGTCTCATCCACACTCCTGAAATTTCATTCTGGTTTTCCATCTGAGTACTGTCATGCCCTTGGTAGAGTCGGACTCTGGGGGAGAGGAGGAACAGCCAACAGGGAGTGGAGGTGTGGCTCTGGAGGTTGTGGAGGAGGCTGGGGAAGGGCAGAGGCCGGCTGGGCAGTCAGAGGAAAAACCAGGCCCATCCCCTCTGCATCCTAGAATACGCAGGGAGGAATGGAGAAGGAAACAGCTTGGCTTATGAGAGAGGAAGCGGCCATGATCCCCCTCATTAGTTGCAGCTGGGGAGAATAGTATATAAGAGAGACAGTTACAACACAGCTTTGCCAGAAGCAAAGCGTGTTTATTTGGGGCTGAAGTTATCTTGGTTGGAGTCCTTCCAACAGACTGTGCCTTGTTATCTCCTTGAATTTGGTAATTACTTATCCTGGTCCATTGTGGAAATTTTACATTGTGATTTGTTTGGTTTTTTATTTCACCTCTATCTGCCCATTGAGTTCGGACTGTATTGCTTTCTTTTGAAGACTATTTTTGAGTAAGTTCTATCTCCAACTGAGAATTATTGAACAGTGGGGCCAAGTTGGAGGCATTAAAGGACATTTATTTACGTTTTGGATTTTGTTACATTTGTGTTACACTCCAGGTCATCACAAGTACAATCAGGTCCACAGATTTAATTTAGGAGGATTAACTAGTTAAGTGCTCCAACTTCCTTGAAACATACTCATTGTTTCAATCTCTGTGAGAGTTAGAAATACTGTAAAACTATACATTGTTTTAGTTCCTGTTCATATTCCCTCGTGTCACAGCTTTTCAGAGTCAAAACAAAATTTTGCTAGAATTATGACAGCCTGTCTCAAACTTTAGGCTTCTAAGTTACGTGGGATCGCATCTCCCATCATTCCCAGTTAGCCAGCCAAGCTCCTCAGCTGACCAAGAAGGATAGCGCTTAGACATTTAGCACATCTGTAGATTGCGAGTTGAGAAAAGTGTTATTAGATTCTTTCAGTCTCTACTAGCAACTGCTAGCCTGCCCCATTAACTAAGGAAAGGTTTGTCTCGATCCAAGCAATCAAGCCGAATGGGGAAAACACACACAGATGCACGCACCTATCATATATATATAAACCATGCAGGTTGACGGCCCCATCAGTTATAAATGTCACCTCCGCCTGGTGTGAAATGTAGGGGCCCAGAAGCAAACATACCTGTGTTTTGTTTGTATGAGAAATAAAATTGATTGCCGACTGGCATATGGTGAAGAGGCATGCGTTTTGTCAGTCTTGGCAAACAGCTGCAGTTCAGCCCTGCTAGGGGTTTGAAGATGCACCGTTGCGGAAATTGTACATATTTGAAGGCTAGCATCAGAATCTGTTCTTACAATGGGGCTCTTCAAAGCAAGGAAGGTGGGACAAGACGCTCCCTTTCCACATTCAATTCCTCAGAAGGCAAGCCTGGGGTTTTTATCAGACTAGGCAGCTTAGTTACTTAGATCGAAAGATGTATATATTCGTCTCCCAGGAAAACTGCTGATCTTCCTACCTTTCTTCTTCCCCCCCGCCCTTTAGGAAAAGCAAATAAGAAAATTAATTGCAAGGCAATGACGTTTTGAAAAACCCTGCCGGCCACTCGGAGTCTGTAAGCTTTGATAGGCTGGGCCCCCAGTACACACAGCAAAAGGATCTTTCAAAGGGTGTGGGAACAGCATTCTTGGTTAGGAGTCATTCCAATGTTTTGAGGCACAGCTGTGGCAGCACAGTGATCAGAATGCAGTATTGCAGGTTAGATCTACCAATGGCCAGGAGTTTGATTCTCACTGGCTCAAAGTTGACTCAGCCTTCCATCCTTCTAAGGTCAATAAAATGGGGAGCCAGATTGTTGGGGGCAATAGGCTGACTTTGTAAACTTCTTAGAGAGGGATGTAAAACAGTGGTGGGATTTCGAAAAAAAAAACATTACTACCGGTTCTGTGGGCGTGTCTTGGTGGGCTTGGTGGGCGTGGCTTGGTAGGCATGGCAGGGGAAGGATACTGCAAAATCCCCATTCCCTCCCCACCCCACTAACCTGCTTTCCAGCTCCGTTCTCCTGTGTAGGGCAACCAAAGAAGAACCCAGCCGATCAGCTGGGACTTGGGAGGCAGAGAATAGATGGGGGCGGGGCCAGTCAGAGGGGGTATTTTCCGGTTCTCCAAACTACTCCAAATTTCTGCTACCAGTTCACCAGAACTGGTCAGAACCTGCAGAATACCACCTCTGATGTAAAGCACTATGAAGTATATACATCTTAAGGGCTGTTGCTATTGCTATTCTGAGTGCAGATTCTCTGATTCTTCAGCCTACCCTCCCATTTTCCAGGCTAATCCCACTGGCTTCCTTGCATTCAACCCTGTAGCGACTGGGCTGTTAAAGAGTTTGCAAACGATCGGCCAATTGCCCTTGCTTTATGTGGCCTTCCTATTGCACATCATTATATGTTCTAAGTCTAAGGCCATCTAGGTGGGTTGAACTGTCCATCATCCCCAGCCAAAATTACCAGCTCCTGAAGTGCATTGATAAGAGCTACCATCAGATGTACAGGCAGTCCTCGACGAATGGCCCATAATTGAGCCCAACGTTTCTGTTGTCCAGTGAAACATTCGTTAAGAGACTTTTGCCCCATTTTACGACTTTTCTTGCCACCGTTGTAAAGCAAATCACCGCAACTGTTCAAGTGAGTAACCCGGTTGCTTAAGTGAATCCGGCTTCCCCATTGACTTTGCTCGTCAGAAGGTCACAGAAGGTGGTCATGCGAGCCTAGGACACTGCAGCCATCATAAATATGAACCCATCCCCAAGCACAGGGATGCTGCAATGGTCATAAGTGTGAAAAATGGCCAGAAGACATTTTTTTTCAATCCCATTGTAACTTCGAATGGTCACTAAAAGAAACCGTTGTAAGTCAAGGACTGCCTGTATTGGAAAGGCTGAAGGAGGATGCTAGAGATACCCCCAGAGCCATTTTGTCAGCCCTCTCCTTTCCTCCCTTCAGAGTCATGGGGCAAAAAACACCTATGCCAAAAAGCACCTGAGAGACTTGAGTCCCACAAAGCATTATCCCAATTCCTCCCCAATTGGCCTTCCTCTTCAGCAGAGGCCTCCAAACTTGGCAACTTTAAGACTTGTGGACTTGAACTACCAGAATTCTTGAGCTAATATGACTAGAGGAGGAATTCTGGGAGTTGAAGTCCACAAGTCTTAGTAAGACGACACCTAGAGTACTGCATCCACCACATTATAAAAAAGATGTTGAGACTCTAGAAAAAGTACAGTGAAGAGCAACCAAGATGATTAGGGGACTGGAGGCTAAAACTTATGAAGAACAGTTACAGGAACTGGGCTTGGCTAGTCTAGTGAAGGGAAGGACCAGGGGAGACGTGATTGCCATATTCCAATATTTGAGGGCTGCCACAGAGAGGAAGGGCTCAATCTATTTTCCAAAACACCCAAAGGCCAGACAAGGAATAATGGATGGAAACTGGACAAGGAGAGATTTAACCTGGAAATAAGGAGAAACTTTCTGACAGTGAGAACAATCAACCAAGGGAACAGCTTGCCCTCAGAAGTTGTGGAAGCATCATCACTTGAGACCTTCAAGAAGAGATTGGACTGCCATTTGTCAGAAACGGTGTAGGGTCTCCCGCTTGGGTGGGGGGTTGGACTAGATGACCTACAAGGTCCCTTCCAACTCTGATTATCTGTTACATCTGTCACTTTTGGATGCTCCAGATCGTGGAGCAGGAAGGGGAGGAAGCAGGGTACGATCGATGAAGTCCAAGGGATGAGCTCCAAAACTCATCCCGCAAACGCTCGTCTGAAGGAATCAAATCCCCAGCGCTTTTGGCTCAAAAGAACGGACCCCAACTCACCCCGCTTCTCCTGCGATCCTACAAAGTGTCCCCCCACACACCAAAAAGAAATCCAGACCCGGCACCCTTATTCCCCCGCAGGCAACCGCGCAAAGGCTCAAATCCGAGGCTACTTTTCTCTCTGGCTAGTAAGTTCGGGTGACTTTTAACTCCTGTTCGCATTTACTACGATTCCTCCGCCTCTTCCTCTCGTTCACGTCCCACCAATCTTCTCCCCCCCACCCCCGCAACCAAAAAAAAAAAAAAAATAGGCGGAGGAGTTACTGGGGGACTCCCCCCTCCTTCCCGTCCTGGAGGCGGGGGCAGGCGCGTCTGGGCCGCGGGATAAACTGTGGCAGCCTCAAAAGCCGCGCCGTCGAGCCGAGGGGACTCCCCAAAGCCTCGCAGCGCGGCCCTGGAAGGAAGGACGCCCCGTTGAGGAACATGTCCCTTCGAATGCGGCAACTCACGCGGGTTCCAACAGTGAGTCCTTTCTCCCTCCTCTCTTCCTTCTCCGGCCCTGGAGTCAGGGGGTTGGACTAGATGACCCCCAAGGTCCCTTCCAACCCTTGTTATTCTATGTCTTCCTACGTCTGTGCCCTCATCCTGCAATTCAGGAGGGTCCCCGGATCCCACTCCCCGTCCCTAATCCCCGGATTCTTGGGTCTGTCCCAAAGCTCTCCTTTCCTCTCACAGCCTCCCTTCCTTCCTTCCTTCCTTCTCGTTTCCGTGTCTTGCTGCAGACACGAAGTTTTGACAGGTGTTTTTTTTCTTCTTCTGGGAGGACGGGAGAGGGGAAGAGAAAGGACCCAGTTGAGAAGGGCGTACTGTATAGGTGCCCAAGCAGAAGGGAAGCGGTGAAATGTCACCCATCTTAACAGGCAATCGTCCATTCCCAGCCACCTTTCCGTCTTCCCCAATTCTCCACACAAATTCAGGGGAGCTGTCAAACTCTTTGGTTAAGTATCTCTGTCCTGGCTGCGCTTCGTAGTCTTCGCTGCTTCTCTTTTCAAAGGAAGCAGCCCCGTTCATAGGAAAGTCAAAGAGTTTTTAAAGCCCCTAATACTTCCCCCCCCCAAAAAAAAAAACGTAATAGGAGCAAAAATGGAATATAAAACTAACAAACACATCGCAAGCATAATATTCCTTGCCTAGTTGTTGCTTTAAAATAACTCTCTATAAAAAGTTTCTCTTGCATTTGTTCTGTCATTTTTGATGCGTTTTGTCTTTGCTTAATCTTTTTTTTTAAACATTTATAAGGAAGCAAAGATGGAATTGCTCCACAATGTCTTATAATTAGGAGCACAATTAGTCACTTTTTCTGTGAGCACTGAATACATGGTAGGAAACTACATGGCTTTTTATGATTGCTTTTTAATATTGTAGTTCATATTTTCATGCTTCAAAAGAATCCCAAAGCAGGATACTAATCGCACTTAGACTTATGTACCGCTTTACAGTGCTTTACAGCCCTCTCTAAGCAGTTTACAGAGTCAACATATTGCCTGCAACAATCTGGGTCCTCATTTTATCCACCTCGGAAGGATGGAAGGCTGAGTCAACCTTGACCCTGATGAGATTTGAACTGCCAAATTACAGGCAGCTGGCGGTCACCACAAGTAGCCTGCAGTACTGCACTCTAACCACTGCACCATCGTGGCTTATAGTGGATAGTTCCACTTCTTGCCTATACTTTTACTGTACCCACATTTTTCTTGGTGGGAACATTACAGAGATATTCTCACACATGACTTTGAAAATTTGACTATACATAGAAATGATATTAAGGTAGACAACATGTAAAAAAATGGCCATTCCTATTTATTTATTTATTTGCCAGATCACAAATTTTATGACATAATATTTTTGTTGTGGAAGTTAAAATTAGCAGGTATATGAATGCAGTTCTGCCCATTTTATTACACGGAAGTGAAAGCTTGGTGCATCAGGAAAAACACAGAAGTTAAATCTAGTGGGAATAAGATATTTAAGACATGCATGTGCTATGCAACAAGGGGAAACGAGACCAAAAATGTATGTGTGATGAATGGAAGCAGATTGAATGCAAGATTGAATAACTGATGTGAAAGAAGCAGCATGAAGGAACTCTTTAGGCTAAAATCTAACCTTCTTGACTTTCCCTAAATTCAAGATATTATGAGAAAATAAATTACTCCGAGAAAATAGTCATATTTTTCCTTCAGTATACAGTATATTTAATAATAAGGAATGGAATGGAATGGAATGGAATGGAATGGAATAGAATAGAATAGAATAGAATAGAATAGAATAGAATAGAATAGAATAGAATAGAATAGAATAGAATAGAAT